AAAGTCCACATCGCACAGGACGTCTCCGATGATGTGAAGATGATGGAAACGCCGCCTCTGGCAGAATCGCGCACGAGCATCTCCGATTCTGCATCACCAGCGTCATCGTTGAGTCGCGGCGTCCCTGCGAAGCGTCCTCTAGGAAGCACACTTTTGGTTGAGCGATTCACGTCGAAGATGATGAAGTCGAGCCGGACACAGACATCAAGTGGTAGCAGAAGCACAGTCGAGGTGGAGGATGAAGTCCAGGCCGAAGCGACGACGTCGTTGGTGACCTCGGACATTGAGATCATTGAGATTGACTAGGCATAGTGATTTTGGACCGGTATTGGAGTAGGCGGTTTGCGATACATTTGCATCTTTGGGCGACAGAGCGCAAAGCTTTCGGACATTTTGCCTTGAATCCTGGATGAGAAGGAATCAACACTTGGAGTCACTGGAGAGATAGACAAAAGCGCATAGCGAAGGGGATGCGATTTTGAGCTTCACAGGATGATTAATTAGTGATCAATCAACAGAGACACTGATGACGATGAAGTCTTCTTTCTATTTTGTGAATTATCAAAGTGCTAGAAAACGAAACAGAAACAACGCTATGTTCCTCTGCCCAAGATTAGGTATGTAAATTTAATGGCACAAATGTATTGACTCCTAGCTCCTCCCCACGTCCCTCCGCTTCAAGTCCTAGTCACAGTCACGGTGACAGTCTCCTTCTCTTTCTCAGTAACAGTCACAAACACCGTCAAGACGGACACACCCTGATGAGCACCAATGGCCGGCATGGAAAGGGGTTTCGGCGTCGTGATTGGGCTCGGCACGTCTGCGGCGGCGGAGGGCGCGTCCGTCGGGATGGGGTTCACGATGAGGGTGTCGGTGAACGTCCCCGGTAATGTTACGGGGGTGCTTGCTTTGGTTGTTGTTGTTGAGCTCGCTGTCTTCGTCGTGGTGGGTTCTGCTGTTGATGACTCGACGGGAGTAGATTTGGCTGTGCTGGAGTGGGCAGTCTTTGAGGTCTCCTCTTCCACTGTTGAGGTGCGCGTTTTGCGGATGGAAGTCGAGGTTGTGGATGGGTCTTGTCCTTCTGCTGCTGTCGATGAGGGCGCAGGAGCTGGGGCCATGGTCTGGGTGACAAACACGGTTGTCGTGAAGCCTGGGGCTTGAGCTGCGGACGTCGTCGTTCCAGGAGCACCCGGTGCGGTCACCGAAATGGTGTACGTTGCGATGACGGTAGGCGTGATCGTGACAGTGCTCTCATACCCGAGGTCAGAAGAGGCCGGCGGCGGCGCTGGTACCGCAGTCGTAGTCGTAGCCACCGAACTAGGCATAGACGTAGACGCAGAAACCGGCGTGCCCAGGACCTGGCTCGCAACCTGGGGATCGTAACACCCGACAATAACTCCCTCCGTCGTCGTCATCGGCAACGCGAAGCACGAGGTCCCGGACCCGCAGCTCTGTATCGCGAACGCCCCGTTGGCCCCACAGATGCCGACATTGCCTTTGACGCAGGCGATTTGGCCGGCCGTGCAGGCGGATTGCTCCGTCAGAGAGGCGAAGAGGGTGTTGAATGTCTTTGCGGAGGCGAGGTTGTTGGCTGCCACGGCCGGGGAGATGGTTGCCGTCGCGGCTGGGGTGGAGGTGCGGATTGTGGGGACTTGGTTGTTTGGTGTCCCTGTGACTTGGGGTTGGAGTGTTGATGAAGGGGTTGAGGAGGAGGCTGGTGTTGTGGGGAGGGAGGAAGGGGTATTTGGTGAGGTTTGGGGGATTGGAACAGTTGTTGATGCTGCGGTGGCTGTTGTGGAAGCGAGAGACGAAGGAGTTGCTATGGCTATGGTTGTAGACTCTGCTGTTGAGGTCTCCCCTCCAGGAATGGGGAACGAAAAAGAGAGGGATGACTGCAGCGGTGTACCCGGTGAAGCGGAAGAGGAGGCACTAGGAGATACTCCGAGATGGGGAGTGACTGTCAGGCTCTGGGAAACAATACCTGAAGCTGAGGCTGTGTTTCCAGGTACTACGGACGACACGTTCTTGAAGCCGGAAGTAAGTTGGGGCGGCAAGGAGATCGTGCTGTCCATGGGAGGCAGAAAGACTGCCGACGTGGTAGTCGGTATCGTCTGGGTCTGTACGGTAGACTCGGCCGGTGATGTAGAAGGACTCTGGTCCACGGGCTGTGTCGTTGCGGCCGGGGATCTCGTTGACGAGCCGTCGAGGGTGACGAAGATTGGGGTCGGTGTGGTCCCATCTTGGTCTTGCTGTGTTACCGGCGGGGCAACAGAGCTGCTTAATTCTCTAAGTTGGTGTAAGTGATGCTTCTGAGAGACAAGAGTGGTAGCGGGGCCGTACGATGAGGGTGAAAGACTATTTGATGAAGCAGCAATGCTTTGAGTGTATGTTGTGTTCCACTCCCTCCGGAAACTGCGACATGTGTTAGTGTAAGTAAATTGGGTCTCGATATGAGGTTTACTAACCTCTCACCACGTCTTAATGGGCCGGCCTGCGTGGTCTGAGTGATCAGGAGGAGCAGCACGACATCTGCTATACGTAGACTAGGGAGCATTGTGATGTTCTGCAGTGACGATCCTGTTGTGTAGGGATATCGACTCGGACTCGCTCTTTCTCCACAGGATATGAAGAATATTATGAATAAGAATTCGGTCTCAATACCGAATTGCCTCGCTCGCAGGCAAACCCAAAGATAGTTGAAAGAAAGCGGGTACAGATCTGGCGTCTAGGCACACAAAGGCTGCGATCAACAGAAGACTGGGAACAGAGTAGGAAAAGGCAACAAAGAACAAGGAATGGCAACGTGGAGAAAGGAACGCAGAAACAAAACACGAGAAAAGACGGAAGAGAAGAGAGAGTGAAAGGGAAGCAAGGGAGAGAAAGAAGTCAATATGACTCGAAACCCACTGCGGACAGGCAAAGAAAAAACGATGGTATGACGGACGGTGTGTGCTCGACAACTCGTCAGACACGAAGCACGCGAGGATGCAGGCTCCATCTTGTATGACTGGACCTGATGGCAAGACAAGAACAAGAAGTGGTCCAAGGGTCTAGAACTCTCAACCTTGTCGTGGCCCATTCAACAAGCCGGGCTGTGAAGGCATTCGAAACGCTTTTAGTCTGCTGGGTCTGGCCTAAGTTGGAAAATGGAGCCCCAGCTTAGATGAGGGCCCGGTAGCTTGGGGACGACGTCGTCCAATGCCTTGCATTTCTTTCCCACTTCGCTAGCCGGGGAGTGATCGGATGTTAGATTTGTGGCCAAGCAGAAGACCGATTACCTAGACCTTAGTTCATGGAGTCCCTCGCAAGGTTGCCGGGGTCGAGGTGCCCATTGCCGCGAGACTGGGTAGACCGTAGCACCCACGCACCGTAGCAGTAGCGGTGGGTGGACGGGCAGAAATGGTATGCTTAAGCGCCTCACACCAAGAAAAACAACGTCTATACGAGGTCTCTGGTGAGAGAAACCGGCCACTATAGACTAATTTTGAAATGAGAAGGGGTTTCTTGGTTCTTGGTGTCTTGTGGTTTTGTGTCTGCGTCTTTGTTTCTGGAGAGGTCGACTGCAGACGCGCGGGAAGCTATTATTGGCAGTTTGGGGGATCCCTGTACTCTTCCCGTGCGATAGCAGCCAATCATTGGGGCGGCGCTTACGCCACCTGGAGCACTGTGGAGACCTAACGGTGCACGCCTGGCCCAAGCTTCACTCGTCGCCTCAGTCTAATAAAACGTCTTCCTCTGACTCTCACTCACTCTCCTCACTGCAAGTCACTCACTCGATTTCATTCATAAGTTGGCTGCTTCTCACACTTCGTTAGTCCTCCAAGCCTTCTCATGAACATACTTCGTAGACTCTCTTCAGTTCTGACGTCATGCTGTCAACCTTCTTGACACTTCAGCAGATCAGCCACAAACACCTCCTGCCTTGTGGCTTGTTTCGGCCGAGTCTCATGCCATCACAGTCCTGAGTCCTAGACTGACACCACATGAGGTCCAGTCACAGCCAGAGTCCCTTCTGAACGTTGCATCTTGACACTCCGCGTCATCGTGAGACTATCGTCTGTCGTCACTACCCTGGCGACTGAGCTCTTGTTCTGAGCATGATAGCCAACCGCGCCGTCGTCTCCCTCGTGATTATTGAGGATACTCGTCACATGTAGGGAATGGTGCCCTACATCTTATCCTGGCTATCAAACAAATTTTCATTCATCAGCTACTGTGGCTTGGCAAAGTCGGGCTGAAATACGTTTCACAAGAGGCTCTGCTTACAATAGTGCATATGTCTCATTTCCACCGTCTCCCTCAACCTGCCTTATCTCATAGCTTTACTCCAAGGTTTTTCGTAGTGAAGCGGAAGGAAGATGTTCTTCATTCCATCATCCAAGCAGATGGTAATTGCAGCTGTTCAAAGTCTTATCGAAGTATGATTATCCAAAGCACGTGGGCTGCCAATGTCGTGCCACCTTCCCCTCTCGTCTCCAAAGCCAAGGCAAAGACCGGGGCTTTGAACTTCGCAGTCGTTGGAATATGCTTCCCTACTTTTGCCACGGGCAGCACGTTGCGCATCCCGAAGCATCTATTGGGACAAGCGGAGATCACATTCCAACCGCCAAGCCGTACCCCGGGCACTAAAGCGTCTTGGCCCCCAGGAACGCTGCGAAACATGTGCGCCAGGTGACGGAACCATTCGTGTTAATCATCCAGATACGCTTCAAGCCAGTGAAACATCTCTCATGTTTCCAGATTCTTTAAATGTCCTTTCAATATTGGCAGCGAGAAATTGCGATCCTGATGCTAGAGTTAGCGAGACACTATTGAATGTGATCCTTCATGCCAAGTGTGTACGCCGCAGCGACGGCTGCAGGCGGCATAAAACACGACATGAGATACTACAACGCGCGGCCAAGAAAATGGAGGACGGATACTTATAAGAGTAAAACCGATGGCTGCAACCTTGACGACCTTCCCAAAGATCTCTATCCATCGCAGAAGTGCCTTCCAAGATGCGCTCCTCAGCCGTGGTCTTCGCCGCCTTGGTGCAGTCTGTCCTGTCGCTCCCCAATGTCAAGAACTTCATCTACATTGTTCCGGATGGATACGGTCCCGCTTCTCAGACAATGGCGAGGGACTATGTCTCATTGCTGCAAAATGGCCAGAATCCCAAAGCACCTGTGAGCTTTCAGCTTGCGGCTGATAAGATGGTGCGTTGAGGAATACTCCAACACTTATGTTATTCAGACTCATAATCTTGGAAGGTCCTCGGCAACGTTCGCACTCTCTCCAGCGATAATCTCATCACGGACTCCGCCGCCTCTGGAACCGCCTTTGCTTGCGGTGTGAAGTCTTACAATAACGGTGCGCGCCTCTCGTGGGAATTCGACAGCCCTGTTCTAACACACACATCAGCCATCGGCGTCAACCCCGCTGGCGAACCCGTCGGTTCCATCCTCGAGGCCGCCAAACTCGCAGGCATGAAGACGGGTCTGGTCGTCACCAGCACCATCAACCACGCTACTCCCGCGTGTAAGTAGCCCACCGCCAAAATACTCTGGTAATATGTAACCCCATATTCAATGTACGCCACTGACAGGCAGCCAGGCTACGCGGCTCACGTTGCCGATCGCAACTCGTATGCCAAGATCGCGGAGCTTGAGATGGGCTACGGGCATCCACTCGGCCCCGTCGCCGATATTCTCCTCGGAGGCGGCCGGTGCTACTTCAAGCCCGCGTCCGACTTGACCTCCTGCCGGAAGGATGAGATTGATCTCTTTGGCTTCGCTCAGGAGAACGGTTACCACGTGATGCAGAATCGGTCGGCCTTTGACGCGCTCGACAAGGGTCTCGGCGACATTCGCCTTCCTTACATTGGTCTCTTTAATGATGGTACTTCAACACTTCTACCCTCACAGTGAAGACAACATAGATGATGACAAACTGCCAGGTCAAATGATGTACGAGATCGACCGCTCCCGCCAACCCTCACAAGAACCCTCCCTCCTAGAAATGGTCGAAACGGCCCTCAACTCCCTCCACCGCGACACCCACTGCAGAGAAGAGGGTTACTTCCTCATGATCGAAGCCTCGCGCATCGACCACGCAGGCCACGCCAACGACCCGGCCGCCCACCTCTTCGACACAATCCACTACAACGAGGTCATGGGCTTCGTCCGCGCGTGGATCGACGAACACCCAGACACCCTGCTCATGTCGGCCGCCGATCACGAGTGTGGCGGTCTGACGCTCAACGGCTTCAACCCGCTTCCCCTCGTCAAGGTCAACGCCTCGACTGAGTTTTTGATGGATGTTTGGGACGCGTACACTGGGTCTGATAAGAAGGCCTTTCTGGTGGGTGAGATTTTGCCCGAGTATGGGCTTGCTGATGCTACAGATGCTGAGGTGAATACCCTCCTCGCCGCTGGCTCGCTGAGCTCGGAGCTGGGGAATTTATTGGCTAGTCGTGCGGGTGTGCACTGGTCTACGGGTGGTCATACCGCTTCCGATATCACGCTGTACGGCTACGGTGCTGGCGAGAATGGACGGACCATCAAGGGCGACATGGCTGGTAACTGGGATAATACCGAGTTGCCAAAGTACATTGAGAAGGTTCTTGGCGTTGATATAGGACAGGTTACGGAGTTACTGAGGGCTAATGGGACGGGCTGGGTTGGGAAGCGGGAATTGAGCCGACGGTCTGATGAGCATATTCATGGACATGACCATTCTCACTAGGCTATAGTGTTCTTCTTGTATCTTGTAACCGTTCATGAGAGACTCGGACAAATTCAAATCTGAGATATTCATGTATTCATTTCTTGTATAACACGCTCAAACCCAGTAGAACAATACTTGAGAATTACTGGCCACTGCGCCTGATAGCTGTGCTTCCCCAATGCCTCGCATATGGAATGCGAAATCTGTTAAACACAGATTGTTCTATGATCTTAGGACATACTTTATGTTGTCTATGTTCTGAGCCGCAAGCCTATCACCAGTCAAATTCTCGTCTCTATCCTCAACTCTCCAAATAACTCCCTAGTACCGTACTACTTTTTCTCTTTCTCATCAAAGCAAGTCCATCATTCATATTCAAACGCCGCTCACGCTTGGTCAACCAATTCAAAGAACGTAAATATACGGCTCAGAACCGTCTTCGGGTCGGTGTTTGTCTTGCGCCACACGCCTGTTATGCAACACATAAACGGCCTCCTGCAATAAAGCAAACGCCATGCCGATCGAGACCATAATGATCATCGTCAAGAGGCCCTTGTCGTAGCTGTCAAAAGAAAAAGAAGTCAACTAAAAGTCTATAGTAGTTTGACCGGGAGGAAAACTTACAAAGGCAGATCGTTACCCCTGAAGTATTGAGATCCTACCATTAAACCACTGATGGCAGACATCACCCACATGCTTTCTTGTCTGTCAGTGTACTCCCGAGTTTTCTGTGATGAACCAACTACTTACGCAATTCCAATGCTGCGCTCTCTGGGGTCACGGCAATTTACCTGCAACCATGTATTATGCGCCGGGTGGTAGCAGACAGCAAAAGCATTGATGGCCGTCCACAAACCCCACCTCGACCACTTCCCGACGTGCGGATGCACTGTCCGGGCCACCACCAGTATGGTCAGATAGCACACATGTCCCAACAGCACCGTCGATCCTCTCTTATTCGAGCTATCACTCAGCATGGCAAAGGCGAAGACGACGGCCATGGCGAGAGACGCGCCGACCGCGGCCAGGGCGTTGGCGCTGATGCGGTCGAAACCGAGGGCCCTTTAGGTAGAGGTAGGCGGGTCAGTAGAGTGCTACTTCAATCTGCAAGAAGTGCAAAGGTTCATGAATTTACTTACATAATGATGGAAGGAGTATATGTTGTGAGCGGCGACCACGTCGAAAAGACGCAAAAGGTGGATACGTAGTGTGGCCATCTCTTGTAGTGCTTGACTGTCTTCCAGACGAGGGCCCAGGGGATTACGATACCCTTTACTCCATCGTTCTTTCCGGGCTCATCGATTTGCATTCTTTGTTGGAGGATCTGCTGCTGTCTCGTCGAGAATCGAATCAGGCCTGGGCTTCCGAGGGGTTTCGGCGTGTCGGGGGATCCGGGGAGGAGGAAGATGAGCATCATGGCAACGACCAGAGTCGCCAGGCCCTCAACTGCGACACAGTATTAGAAGAGTCCACGAGATCTAACAGGCCGAAGGAAAAAGTGGAAGGGAGGACTCACTTAGGAAAAGCCACTGCCAACCCGTCAACCCACCCTTTCCGGCCAACTTCAGTATCCCGGAAGCAAGCAGTGGACTCAGGGCGTTGCCCCCAAACTGCCCAAACATGAAGACGGCAATGCGCTTCGCCAGCTCGTGTTTCGGGTACCAGTTCGACAGGGTGTACATTGATCCGGGAATGTACCCCGCCTCAGCGAGGCCGAGCATGAGGCGGATGGCGAGGAAGCCGGCGCGGTTCTTGACGAGGACTTGGAGCGTGGCGACGGTGCCGAAGAGGAGGACTTGTAGGGAGATCCATTTTCGGGGGCCAAACTACGCGGACGTGTGAGTGAGCTTGGATGAAATCTGGGTGGTAGGCACTTTGGAGGTGGGACTGGTAACGGGAGGGGAGGGGAGGTGAATAAGTTTGAGCGTTGGCTTGTACGGACGCACCCTTTGTAACAGCAAGTTACATGGAATCTCCAAGACAACAGTGCCCATGAACATGAGCTGGTTTCCCAGATTGATAGTATCCTGACTGACGTTGATATCCCTCGCAAAGCCGGCTGTAAGTGCTGAAGCTAGGTTCATACGGTCGAGCTGGAACATGAGCAGACCCAAGACAAGGAGAGGTAACACAGTCATGTCGATTCTGAGAACATGATACGTTAGCCTCACTCAACTCATGGAGCTACTTTAAGCTTAAAATCATGTGTTACTGGGAGCCGGGGAGTTCTCACTTCCTCTTAGCCATACGTTCCTCATCGACATCCCACTCTAACTTGTCCTCGGACGCCACGACGGATCGGTCCGTCGACGTGGTGCACACCATCTTTTCATCTGTCGGAGAATTCATGGTTGTCGATCACGGCAGTTACACACACATACTCGAGAAAGAGACCACGAACATTGGCCATTGGATTCAGCTGAAATGCCATGGCTAAATGCTTTTGTCTTGTGTAGTCGGCCATCCAGGTTCCTATCAGACTCTAAATAATCCCAGTCTGCCCTGGACCGCAAACCCATGTTTCCCCCACATCCACTGCGGATATCCTCAAGAACTTCAGGGTCCAAGAACGCAGTGTGATGTAAGTGCTCGCACCTTGATGGTCTCCCACCTCGCTGGGCCGGAAAGTGCTGATAAGCGTTATCGATAACAGCACATGCTCGTGACGGGCGACGGGAGACAACGTTTCCTCGCACGATAACGCCATCGGGCGCTAAGATGACCAAATCGACTTTCCACCACCGTGAACGACACCGGCATCCCTGTCCGACTACCCGGTCAGGCGGTTTACGACAACACGATTGGAGGCTTTGGCAGTTTGGTAGTGGGGTTCACCCCTGTTCAGTTGAACCCCTCCATCCGTCCGCTGCAAGCCGCTCCCAAACTCTCGGGAGGCGGGCAGCTAAAAAAGTGAGAGCATTCGCACTTCGCGTGCTGGGTCAGGTGCCGCGTACCTTATCCTATTCTTTTTCATTTCTGCTTTACAATCCTGTGATACTCTCTTTACGATCCCACGTTGGTCAAGCATAGAGCGTTTCAGGGAATAGCGAGTATCTGAAGAATGGGCGCAGTCAAGCGGGTTGCCGTCATCGGCGCGGGGCCGGCCGGGGCTATCACAATTGACGCCCTGGCACGGGAGAAGGCGTTCGATGTCATTCGTGTGTTTGAGCGTCGAGAGGCAGCGGGAGGATGTTGGTGAGTCTTTCTTCTCACATTCGTCGCAAGTTGTTTTCATTGGACTGTCGCGCGGGGCTGGTTGTACTCATATGGAGCTCATTGGAGAGTACCTTGATGGTTCAAGCTGTTCCTGCAAATATCTTTTGGTACTACTTCGTATTACCTCATGAGACGAACCAGGAACAAAATGAGAACCTTGATGGTGCTCTGCCATTTGGATGACTGAAGCAGATGGCCAATTCCTGCGGCCAATGAACTCCATCATCAATGTCACTGAACATAGCATTACTATTCATTGACTTGGATGCCACATCGGCGGGCGATGAGATGGAATAGAGACATTCACCGCGCTCGAACGAGGCGAGTCCCCAAAGAACATGCACTAACTCTTCCATCACAATAGGGTTGGCGACCAAACACCACCACCACACCTCACAAACCTCTCCTCCCTAGCAGCCCGAACCGCCGACCAACCCCTCCCGATCCCGGAAACCCTCCCGTCCCGGACGCCGAAAGCTGCGGCCGGGTCAGTCTCGGCCCCTCCCCCGCCACGCTTCACCGAGTCCGGAATCTACCCCTACCTTGAAACCAACGTCGACGCCATCCCCATGTCCTTCTCCGAGGAATCCCTCCCCGAACAGCGCACCGACAACTCGATTGCGCTGCACGGCCCCGAGACGCCCTTTCGGCACTGGACCGTGGTGCGGGACTTTGTTCAGGGGCTGGTGAACCGTAACGGCTACCAGGATTTCGTCTCCTACCGCACCACCGTCGAGCGCGCTGAGAAAGTTGGGGAAGAGTGGCAGCTCACCCTCAGGAAAGAGGGCGATGAGTGGGACGACTGGTGGGTTGAGTACTTCGACGCTGTTGTGGTTGCGACGGGGCACTACTGGGTTCCATATGTGCCTCACATTGAGGGCCTCGAGGAGTTTGAAAAGGCGCGTCCGGGAAGCGTAATTCACAGCAAGCACTTTCGCGGACGAGATCACTTCCGCAACAAGGTGAGTACTCCCTCATGATCTCTCTCTCTCTCTCTCTCTCTCTCTCCCCCCGCGAGTCACGAAAAAGTCGCTGACCACTCACAACCCAGCGCGTCGTCGTAGTCGGCGCCTCCGTCTCAGGCGCAGACATCTCCGTCGACCTCGTCAAAACAGCCAAACTCCCCATCTACTCCGTCGTAAACGGCCGCAAAGCAAACCTCTATTTCGGCGACGGCGCCTTCAACCACCCGCAAATCTCCCGCCGCGCCACAATCACCCACATTGACCCCTCCACGAGAACAGTCCACTTCCAGGACGGCACCTCCGTCCCCGGAGTCGACAGCATCGTCCTCGCCACGGGCTTCACCTGGACCTTGCCCTTCCTTCCTTCGGTCGAGCTGCGCAATAATCGCGTCGCGGGGCTCTACCAGCACGTAATCTACCACGCCGACCCGACGCTACTTTTCATCGGCGCCGTCGCCGCGGGGCTGACGTTTAAGATTTTCGAGTGGCAAGCTGTTTTAGCGGCGCGCGTGCTGGCTGGGCGGGCGAAGTTGCCGCCCAAGGAGGAGCAGGCGGCGTGGGAGGCGGAGAGAGTCAAGGAGAAGGGGGACGATATTCGGTTCTCGCTTGTGCATCCGCACTTTGAGGAGTATTTCGAGACGGTGAGGGAGCTTGCAGGCGAGCCTGAGGGTGGGATTGGTAGAGCGCTGCCAGCGTATGATCCGTCTTGGTTTCAGGTGTTTATGGATGGGTTGGAGTTGAGGAAGAAGATGTGGGTGAGGTTGAATGCCGAGGCGCGGGAGGCGGCGGTCAATGGGGTTGGAAAGGAGGGGGAGAAAGGGCCTATTGTGACTACGATTGAGGCACCACAGGAGGTGCGGTAGACTCAGACATACACCAGAAATAAATTGCGAAGAATTTCATCTACATGACAACATCACGGGTAAAAGGTGATACATGTCAAAGTATGACTGGTAAGTGCTGTAGCGGATGACGATGGTGCCGCTTGCTCTGCGACATCATGAAGATCTCGTGTTGCAATACCAAGAGAATGAAAAGCCGCTTGAGTTGGTGATACAAAAGGTAGCCAGTCACCCAGTCAAAACGATCTCCTCTGAGATCCAAAGTCTCAATCACCACGGTTGATGGCTTATACTGGCCACCATCTAACAACGCACACTCAGGTTGCTCGCCGAGTTCCATAGCCATTCGAGCCACGTGATCATTGAGAAGCTGAGAACCAACTCAGATCCTTTCGTTCCCTAGGCGAATCAAATTCTCTCGCTAAGTGACATACTTGCAGCGGTTTGACCCAAGGGGTTGGGATAAGCGCTTACATGTGGGCATCGTCTTACATCAGACGACAGGCAGTCATTCCTAGACCACATCGGCCACTCCTAGCTCGCGTCCCTTGGGGTGTGATTCGAAAAGGGAAAGCCATGCTTCTGCATCGTAGGGAAAACAATGCCAGCGCATGGCTTCTGTTGGACTTGGCGAGCCCGTTAAGTGGTTTGAGCTGAGATGATTGCGGCAACCATGCAGGGATGATCAAGAGACAGCATCGCATGTGAAAAAGAGCCAAGATCCCGCGCCTCCGCAACTACAAGCAAGGAAATGGATGTGCTCTTCAAGAAGAAGGAGCTTTGAAATACAGATACAACGATGGAAACCTCACCACAGCCTTCCAACCCGCCCAAAAGGCGAGGCCTCAAGCGCCGCATCACCGACCTCCACGTCGACATCACAAGCATCCTACACGGCTACACCCCCACACCGCACTTCCTCGCAAGCGACATCACCGGCTACCTCCTCTTCACCCTCCTCGCGACAGACTGGCCATCCTTCTGGCGCGCAAAGCTCTTCCGCGCCTTTCCCTGCGCCCAAACGGCCTCCGAGACCTTCTCCGGCTTCTGGAACGCCTTCTGGCAGGAACGATGGCACCAAGAAGACGACGCCGAGTCGAAGACGGACAAGTGGAACCCGGGCTTGTATAGGTCGCCGCCGCCGCGGATGCGCTCGTGTCGCGAGGTGCTGAATCGGCAGCAGGCGTTGCGGAATTGCTGCGCTGCGCAGATGGAGGGGTTCGAGGGGCGGGATGTGGTGAAGGAGATGGTGTTGCAGGTTGCGCTGGCGTTTTGCTGGCTCTGGGCGGTGCTGAAAGATTACAGACGGCTGCTCTGCCTGGTGCATTCTATAGAGACTGATGGGGAAGAGTGCCGCCGCGAAGAGGTTGGGAGGGAGGTGCCGGTGGTGGTGTGTAAAGGAGAAGGGACTATGCCCGTGGCGCGGGACGGCCCGTCGTACTGTTGTTTGAGACGGCTCCAAAGACATATTGATCGTGGGCAAAGCATGATTGACAAGTTTGTAGAGCTGGAGATGTGTGATGGTGCCGACGATACGCTTTGGACTGAGATGGAGTGGCTAAGCGAGAAGGAAGATGAGATTCCTGCGGAAATGCCGCAACAAGATCGGTTTCTTGTTGACCGTGTAGTCTTCTCGGCTGGTTTATCATGGCTCATGGTTGCCATCAGTTGCGACTTCGCGACCTTCTACTTCCTCGTCCTGATACGGCGACTAGGGGCTCGTTTACTGCCGTAATATAGAGTTATATAGCATCGAGCAAATACTGTCACGAAGTGTTACCTTTAGACACCAGACGCACATGAAATACCTAGGGCCTAAACATGATAGTAGTGTTTTATTGTGGACATGTATTCATCAGCAATGTCAATTGGGATATCGCTTTCCATGTAAACGCCTTGCAATGCAAATGTCAACTCAGCGTCGTCTTCTGAACTTGCTGTTGTATCCGGGCCCGCCTTTCGCGCCGTTGTTCTTCAGTTTCAATCGCCGGAAATTCGTATGCGCCATTGCGTTCACCTTTCTGACGGCCTTCTTGACCGCCCCGACCTTCTCCGTCTTCTTCTCTTCCTTCTTCTTGGACTTGGTTTTTGGTGCCGACTCGTCAAACTCTGTGTCTGAACCCGAGCCCGCGAGCTCATCATAGTCGTCTTCTGGATCACCACTGTTTTGTGTTTTTGGCACGCCTTCTTCTTCGTCTCCTTCTTGTGCCTCTTCCTCGGCGGGAGCCGATGGCCGTTTAACGTGGACAGGCTTCATGTTGGATCTCCTCGTCGTTCGTTTCTGCCCCTTCTTCTTGTATACCCTTAACGGCATTCCATCACGTCCCACCTGCTCTTCATCGGGACTGTCGTAAAGAGCCTCATCATCAAAGCCTCCAAGAGGAAGATTGACCTGACTGTCTGCAGCGAGAATATCCGCTTTCGGCTTCGGAGGCACTTTAGGCTGCACAACTTCGCCTTCCGCCTCCCGTAGAGCCTCGAGTTCGTCTTCGTTGTCCAAGTTATCTTCTTCCACCTTTCTGAGACTTGCTACAATAGCACTGAGGCCACGAACCAGTGGTTTCCGAGGTAATCGCAGGGGCGGCGCTGTAAAGTCATCGCTCTTGCTGGGTGGTGGCTGAGTGTGTCTTTTGAGGAAGGACGGGGTGCTGAACTGAAGCTTCGAAACAGTTGTCGGTGTTTTGGCGTCTGCTGCAGGGACATCTTTGTTCTTCAGAGGTGTCATGAAGCTGTCTAGCATTTGCCGTTTGCTCGTGGACATTGGCGTCCGCCCAAATTTCGCATCATCCTCCTCGTCCATGGGTGTTGCACGTTTCCTTGGTGTCGTCATTACTCTGGCGTCGGCAGAGGTGTTGATGTTCTTTCTTGACGGTGTTCCGAGCTCACGCTCCACCATTAGGTCAAACAATCCCAGTACACGACCATCGCGCTGTGGAGTAGGTCCAATCGATCTTGGAGCCACGGGGCTGAAGAGGGTTCTGGAGATCGAGGGGGTGCTAGTGAGGGCGGCATCTTCGGGGTTCGTCCTTCTTTTCGAGGGCGTTTCGGTGTGCCTGGTTTTCTTCGAAGGAGTCCTCGCGAGAGGGGGGATATCGTCCCGCCTCTTTGGTTTCGGAGCTTCTTTTGAAGGTGGAGGAATCTTTCCTGAAAGGATGTCGCGGACTTTGTTGTACTGCTTGTATTTTTGCGCTGGTCACTCGTGTTAATCTTCGATTGCTTTTGTGCTTTCAGAGGTAAGATACTCACCTATGTCGGCGTTGCTTTTGATATCACCTCTGCCCGGCTTCTTCCCATCGTGAGACTTTGCCCAGGAGGTCTCCCACGTCTTGAGTTCGACACGTAGTTTCTGTGACTGGAGCTCATACTCTGCCTTTGTCGGTTCGTCCATTATGGGGCAGTCGCTGGTCAAGATGCATCTACGTCATTGAAGATTGTGAAGGCGCAGAATTAAGGTTGAGTAAGTGGTTTGAATTGAGGTACGTAGTTGAAGACGTCCAGGGTGGATTTCAAGGTGGAGGGAAAGGAAACGCGGTTGACGCGACAAGGAAAAAGCACTAAACACGAAAGATCCACGGTCGCCCAGCAGCACTTTGGGTACGTATTTAACCGGCCGAAGGGATTGCCCCACCATGGAATTCCTTATCTTATCAGTTTAAGTTGCTTCCACGGATGTCACGCTGATTAAACAGCCGTCACACAGGACTGACATGGTGACATCGTCGTTCTCCTCCGTCAAACACCACTTCCTTTCTCTTGAGCACGCTTTACACCTGTGGCATGTCCGCCGAAGCGATATCCAGCGACAACTCGAGTTCACGAGATCTTCATTCCGTCGTCTTGCAGACAACGCTGCAGGAGATCACCACGCGACCGACGGATCTTCAAGACTGTTGCGTCATTTGCCTCGAAGAGATCACCGAAGGCTGCGAGGCGCAACCCTGCCACCACCACAACTTTGATTTCCTCTGCCTCGCGACATGGCTGGAACGACAAATAGCATGCCCGCTATGCAAGATCGAGATCAAGGAGGTCCGTTACGAGTTTAGCGACGACCGAAAGCAATGGAAGACCTTCAAGGCCCCAGAGAGACCCTCGGATAAGGCTGGAGACACAACGGATGCCCCTTCTGGTCAGCAAACGAGACGATATTACTCTCAAGCCCGCCCAAGGCGACCACGGCCCTATGCGTCTTCGACGACTCGGCCCAATCTGTCTCAAGATGAGGCAATCACCCGCCGAAGACATATCTATCGACATCAATTGTACTCGCTGCACGTGGGCTCAAACAGGATATCAAGATACCGAGACTTGACTCCGCAAATATTTGCCTCCGATACAGAGCTTGTCTCGCGCGCGCGTACATTTCTTCGGCGCGAACTACAGGTCTTTGAGTTCCTCTCGCCCGATCATGATGCAAGGCCGCTAGATACCGACCCAGTCCGACGTCGCAGAGCCAACAATGCCGAGTTCTTGCTCGAGTACATCATCGCTATCTTGAAGACTGTGGATATGCAAGGCAGCATGGGCCAAGCTGAGGAGCTCATTCAAGAGTTTCTGGGCAGAGAGAATACACGATTGCTGCTTCATGAGCTTCGGGCGTGGCTGAGAAGCCCCTACATGTCGCTCGAAAGCTGGGACCGCGCTGTGCAGTATCCTGATGTTACACTCAAGCGGCGACGGTCACAGAGTCGCAGCGCAGCTAATCGTGGAGAATCGTCCACGACCAACAGTATATACCCTTCAACCTGGAGGAGAGATGAGAGACAGAGGCATCGCAGGCAGCCTTACGAATCGCGTCGGTCACGGAATGACCAGAGATTACGAGAGGCGACAGAACGATACTCTGTTGATTGAGCACTGATAGCACGACTCGGACATGATAATACCCATAGCTGTGGCTTCACACCTATTTACGGCGGATCCTTTTGCGGAACTATTTTGCGCAGTGGATGACAGAGGATACAAGCTTTAGACTGGCCTGTGCTTTATTAGCTTGCAACTTTGCAAGGGCGGCAGGGCGGCAGGGCCCTCGGCGGTGGTAATGAACAAGGGGCGCACATAGACTCCACGAATCATGAATGCAACGTAACAAATCAAGTGCCGAAATGCAGAGTGCCGAACGACCATCGGAACCTTCCCAGACCCGCCTTCGCCGATTTTGCTTCGGCTGAATAATGGCGGATTGTGGGCTCGTTGGTGCTGATGTGAAGAGACGAGACGGGGTAAGCTCGTCTCGATAAGGAGGAATCCCGCCGGCCTGTAGCTAAATGATTCCGGTCGGATCGGGCTCCGGGTCTGATTGGTAATCAACTAAAAGTCGGCGCCCAGTTACGGCGGAGTCCCGCCGTATTCGAGCGAGGCCGAGGCCGAGTTTTACGACATATTTGACGTCTTTGATTCCCATATCGTAGATTTCGAAGATAGACTCTATTCAACCAATATCTGTGTACCTGTTCATATTCTCCTCATCGTCGAGCAAGAAAATTTGAAAGTGAATGAACGCCGCACGCCAAGCAAGCAAGATGTCCACCATCAACATCAAAGTCATATCAGACCCCGTCTGCCCCTTTGTAAGACGCCCTTGGAACTCATCGGAGAAGAAAAAAAAAACGAGGTCACTAACATCACTGGCAGTGCTATCTCGGCAAAGCCCGTCTGAACAGGGCGATAGACCTCTACAAAAAGACGTACCCCGGCGGCAAGGACGACACCTTCAACGTAACCTGGCAAGCCTACTACCTCGACCCGACGGCGCCCCGCAAGGGCGTTCCCGTCAACGAGCGCATGGCGGCGCGCTTCGGCGCCGACAGGCTGGAGATGATGCACGCGCGCATGAAGAAGCTGGGCGCGGCCGAAGGCTTCAATTTTACGTTCGGGGGCAAGATCGGGCACACGCGGGACGCGCACCGGACGATCCAGCTGGCGAAAACCAAGGGTCCCGAGGTGGAGAACGCGGTGGTGGACTCGATTATGAAGAGTTACTTTGAGGAGGACGGGGACGTGACGAGCTGGGATATGATTGTGGACGCGGCGGTGCGGGGTGGGCTTGAGAGGGGGGAGGTGAGGCGGTGGCTGGAGGAGGGTAAGGGAGGGGAGGAGGTTGATCGGCAGGTGGAGGAGGCGTATCGGATGGGGGTGAGGGGGGTGCCGCATTTTGTGATTGAGGATAAGTATGAGGTTGGGGGCGCGCAGGAGGTGGGTGAGTTTTTGGGACAGATTGTTGCGGCGAGGGAGAGGGGTGGGAGGGCAGCGGGGGCACGGGACGGGCTTTCGTGTTGAGGTTGTCGTGGCACACAAGCTCACATGGAGAATGTAATCGGGGTGTAGGGTAATTTTGGGTCATGATGGAGTTTTGTTTGAATTTCTGGGGTATCATGTCGTAAAACAACCATGGTAGTAGAAGCGCCCTCGTTTAATATCCTCATTCTTTTGTTTCCAACCAACGTCACATGTTCAGCAATGCTCCCAAATCCTTTTCCATAGCCCGCAACCGCTGCTGCAGCTCCCGCTTCTTCTTATCAAGCTCCCTCACAAACTCCTCCTCGGCCCGTAGGTCCTCTTCCGTCATGACATCCTCGCCCGCTTCTTCCTCTTCGTCCTCTTCGTCATCAAATTGCTCGTCATCTCCCTCACTCATCCAATGATCCTTGTTCATTCTCTCCACCGCAGCCTGGTTCTCAGCAACCTTTGCCTCGTAGTACGCCAACGTATTCGTCTGGTGCGCGTACCGCGACCTCAGCTGCGGAATCCGCTCGAGCGCGCCGGGGAGAGCGTACACGCCGCACAGCTTCGTCGCGCCCTGCAATAGTACCTCGACGTCGACGTCGCCCCCCTTGCTCGCGGCCTGGCGCTCGCCGCGGCGCAGCTGGGCGTGGAGGTCGCCTCCGAGGACGGCGGAGACGGCGGTGTGGCGGCGGGGTCCACCTATGCCTCCGCCGCCTGCAGCGCGGGAGGTTCCTGGTGGTGGGCCGGTTGTGACTTCACCCGAAGCGACGTTGAAGACGGTTTGGCGGCGGGAGGTGGTGGGTTTCGCTTCTTGGTTTTGGGAGGATGATGATGTTGCTGGCGGTGGTGGGGGCGGGGGTACGGAGAAGAGGGCGCGTTCGTGGGCTTCGGTGTCGCGAATTAGGGAGGTGATATCGGTGTTGTAGAGCATTGCATTTGTGAAGATTTTGGGTGGTGGGAAGCTGCCATGGTGTGTTAGTGAATGTCTCGGATGGCGGCCAAATTGAGGGTATCTTGAGGAGGGTGCTTTTGATGAGGAGGGGCAAGGCGTACGGGAGCGAGTCGATGCCCTCGCAGCAGAGAGCTATCTGCTCGAGGTGGATTGAGAGCATTGACATGGTGGTGTCTTGTTTTTTGATATGTCGAATACGGAGTTGCGCTCTGCAGACGGTCGACGTTGAAGGTGTATAGTCAGTCCAGTGTTGATGTTGGATTCGGAGGTTTCAATGTCAACAAACTGCCCCACCAAACACATGATTTGTTTCTCAGTTGGAGAAGGAGCTGTCTCCCCCACGACCTTTGCTTGGCGCACGGACCAGCTCATATTCATCCCCAAAATCTGCAGCTCAGCTGGGCATCAAATTCCCCTTCCTCCACCTCTCTCACTCGTCAACTCTTCAACAGCTGCTGTGATCATCTTGATCATCGTAGTCCCAAGCACTGCGACGAAGTCACGCATCATTTTGATGAGATTGAGGCTTCAACGTCAGGCTGTGACGGCTGAGACTAATGACTCCACCAAAGCTCAAGGCATCTCCTCGTTGGACGGCGATACGAATACAAACAACGCTGATGGAAGATTTACAAGAGCAACTGCGTCAAATCTGACAGCCAAGCCTCTATATGTCTCTCCCAGGCTTGAATCACTCGACGGACAAGGAAGTCAGAAGTCAATTCACTTCAACTTTTGGTGATGCATAGCTGCACGCGGTAGAACCCGAACCACTCAGCTCGGTGTCTACCAAATCGACATCCAGCCACTCACTTCCCCAAGACGAACGGTCAGAGCTTGGACATTATTCACGAGGCAATTGTTCCGTACCAAGCACAATCAGATTTCAGGGCTGCCTGTTGCCTCGCCGGGTGAGGATCGCAATAAGCGGCTTGGACCCTCGAGGATGTGACTCTGTCGGGCTGAACGTGCCGATTAGCTGGGCACGTAACGTCAGAAATGACGACAGATGGACACACTCATTGGGTCCTATGCGCGTCTGCTGGCTTTCCTTCAAAGGCTGTCGGCGCATGTGGTGCACTCTTGCTACGGCAGCCTGTAAGACACCCACATGCAACTCGAACAGCCCCAACAACGCAAGGCATAGTTGCTTTCTCTGACTTCTTGTCATTTTCTATTTGCAACTTTATCGGTGTAACCGTCAGTGGCATCTACTTGTGGACTCTGTCAACATCTCAGAGCCTTGCATGGTACTTTACCAGAGGCATGCTTTCGATCTCTTGGTGCACAGCCTGGATCTGACTGCATCTCGCTCTCGCGCATCGCATCTTCGCCTATTCGCACCCCATCTCAGCCCCCAAAAACACACCAGACATTGTCAATCCGTAAGGCAACATGGAGGGCAGGCAGCGGGGTGGCGCCCTAGCCGCTGCGACCGACCCCCCTAATTGGCGAGTGCCCCCTGGTCGAGTGACCAGCCAAGATGGAAGATGGGCGCCGTCGTCTATCCCGGCCCGGGTTCAGGCCAACTCAGCCCTGCCTGCACCTTGTGTCTGCTGTGTCTCTACTTCTTTTCTGGAGCAGAAAAATGTCTTACCTCTTCCCCATGAAATGCTAACGACCGCTACGAGGGGAACTAGGATCTCTAGTTTGTGGTTGGAAGTTTGTTCGTTTGTCTGACCGGCGCCGCCCTCCATCCCCATCTGCTTCCCCACGATATAATGCCGCGTGAGCACCCACCGTCCGTCTCCCGCTGGTCACTTGACCACATTCCTTTCCCGTCATCACCCTCTCTGTCATTTTCACTTTCGCCATCTGGCTATTCTTGGCTCTATATCGTCCTAGCCATACCCGTCATCATGGCCGCCGGCCTCTTCTCCATCCCAGGTCTGGGCGACAGGTTCGCGGTGCGGTATCGATCACGACAACAGAAACGAACAGAGCTGCATAAACAGAGGATGGGTTCGACACAGTTTCTCGGCTCCCAGGTGGGAGGCAGCTCCGTCATCAGCTATTCTTACACCGATTTTCCCTGGAAGCTGCTCGCATGGGATATTTACTACTTTTTCCAGTACATCTGGGCTCTTCCCTGGATCGTATGGCCTATTACCCCAGCCGATTCGGGGGACCTCGATGAGTTGGCTTTCACAAGGCAAAACCTCTTTTGCGTGGGAATGCATCTTTTCCTGTGCGTTTTGCAAATTGGCTTCATCTTGGCTTTGCCATTTGCCGTCTTATTGCCTATTTGGATCGCCGGCCTCGCCTTCGGTGCCTTCTTCGCCGTCAACTATCTGCTCTGCCTGTTGCTGAATGGGCCAACCCTCACCTACACCTCGGATCCCAAGTACGCACCTGAGCTACCAGAGCACGCTCACGAGAAATGGATCTTTTTGAACGGAGTTGCCGTCGGGTAAGTCGTTATCGACTCTCACTTCGTGTTCCCAGTGCATTTCAATATGCATCTATGAGGAACTAGATGGGGGCATAACAGACTGACTAACACGCATCAGGGACCACTGGATGAAGAACAATCTAAACAGACTCGCTCTCACCTTTAAGCGGCCAATCCTCGGTATCCATAACCAGACCTCGGGAATCCTCTTTGATGTTGTCGAATGTCTCATCCAACGGAACTTGGGGTACGCAACCTACGACGTACGCATGTGCTATCGTATTGTCAAGGAAACGCTTTACAACCCACAATACTCCAAGGTGGTCTTCGTTTTGCATTCGCAGGGAGGCATCGAGGGTGGTCTCGTTCTTGACTGGCTATTGCAGGAATTGCCACAAGATCTTCTTGCCAAACTCGAGGTAAGTGACATCGGACACTGCGTACAACAACACTTCTAACAATGTCTAGGTTTACACATTTGGCAATGCCGCAAACCACTTCAACAATCCCCATCGCCATGCAATGTCCCAGGCCCTGGCACAAAACAATCCGGCGGCCATGACTTTGACCACGACCAGCATAACTCACGGCGACTTTGTGGACAGCCCCGTATCGCCAATCGCCAACAGCGGTCAACAACGTTTTGTCTCGAGTCACAGCACCGGAAGCAAAAGCGAACACAGCAACCCGCGCACGCCCAGCCTTCCCAAAGAGTCGTCCTCCATTTCTTCTCGATCCTCCACGGCCGCACTGGACCGCGCTATTGGCCACGTCGAGCACTACGCCCACACCACTGACTTTGTCGCCATCTGGGGCGTCTTGCACTTTTGTACCTCCCTCACAGCGGACCACAGCATGCCGCGCTTCATCGGGCGGCTTTTCGTAAGGGCCTCGGAGCGCGGTGGACACCAGTTTTGTCAGCACTACCTCGACGGCATGTTCCCCCTCGCAAAGGACCCTGAGACGGGCGAGTTTATCGGCGCGGCGGAGGAGAGCGAGTTCATGGAGAGCGAAATCCAGGTCGGACGGCAGGGTGATGCCGGGGCGAACGCGCGCGAGGCGTTTGAGGTTGCGTATTTGGGGCGCGATGTCAACAATGAGGTTGAGTTCCATGGGGAACACGTCAAGGGACGGCATAGGAAGAAGACGGTCAAGGTGAAGGATCTTTCGAGATTGTGGCTGTACCGGAATGGACGCAGTCCGCCTGAGACGCCGCCTTACTTGTATACGGAAAATGGGATTGTGAGGAATGCGACTTTGTAGATTGGTATTTGGTGGTTGTGTTTTGGTTTGTGTAGGTGGTTCTATAGAATGATACCCTCTAGTTGTTATTGCGCACGTTTGGCTCGTTCATTATATAACGCCGATTATTGAAGATGGTATCAGTTTCCGTGTATGACTTACATGGTTCGGCGCTCCAGTTGTGTACGGATCATCGGCAGGAAGTTGTGCTGATAGAGTCATATACTATCCAACGAAAGAACTCGGTCCTGCTGGCGTTGAGGCTGCATTTGATATACCCATGCACATCACGACAAGTGTGACGGAGGGAAGGAAGCAGAGAGCATGTGGATTAAAAAGCAAAAAAACAACAATGGGACGACCGATCGAGGATTCGAACTTGGATCCCGAAATAGACAGGAGTCTTCACTGCCTAACCGGGGCCTCTGCAGCTCGAATTTGACCCCTCGACCATACGGCCCAGGTACTTGTTGTTGAGGACTTGGTGATGATTCATTGGATATGGAGCCTCGTGGGCGGTCTGGGTTGTCTTCTGGGAAGGTGCCGCTGGAATGATTGAGAAGGTGTGGAAGGTGTGGATGCCACACTGGCACCTGCCTTATATAGGTGCCGAAATATCTACCACCACATCTTTTATCTTACTTGTTTATTTGTAACAGGTGCTGGATCACAGAGAGAGCTCTGTGAGGGTATACAAGGACGGGCAATGCGCCAGAGACCTATGATGGAGGCAAGGCATCACGCTCACCAGAGATTCCGGTGCTATCGTAGGGCTGTAATCTGAGATCTAGAACCGAGCCATTCCGTTTTGCTTGAGTTTTTGCATTTCTCTAAGCTGTGTCTGATAGTTTTAAGTGAAGAGGGGGGGGGGGACCCATTCCATCCGAGGATCTTGGTCCCTGGCTCGTGAGTATTCAGCATTGTATATCTATGACCAGAACGAGCAAGGATTGCCAAGATTGGCTGTGTGGTGTGCTCTGTAATTTGGGCCATAGGAGACTGTAGTGTTGTTGTGCTGAAGACCGCAGAAAACCAGTGCGGAGTTGGTACTCAACTATCACAACGCCTGCTCGCTATGATGCGTGGCGAGGGAAGGAGAAGAGAAACCTCTCACTGGACTTTAATATATAAGTACATGATAGACTGCCACCTTTAGGAGCTGCACGGTGAAATTCGCCTTGACAAACCAGCCTCGTGGGGCATCAGCACGGCAGAATCAAGGCAGAAAAACAAGGCCTTATAAACAACCACCACATGAGATTCAGGGAGAGACTATGTACATCGTGTACCTTTGTCTTTGCATTTGTGTGGCCGATCTAGCGTATTTCAGGTAAAAGGTTTTGAAGTGAGAGGTCTATACTCGAGGTATCATATGAGTGATGCGCCAAGGCAAGGTATTGCATCGCAGACATGTAGGCACGGTAAGATGCAGGGGCCCAGACGTGCAAGCTAGAGTCAGTGTCGTGGCTTAATGATTCACGATACGCGAAACAGCGCACACGAGGAAGAAGAAGTCATGGCGTGCGAGAATT